CATCCCAATTAAAAGAAAAACCCCACAGCCCTCATTGAATCGTCCCCAACCTACAAGTCTGCAACCCACACCTTGCTCGCCGGAAATTATGGACCTGCCCGATGGCTTCCCCAACAGTCCCAACCTCTTCCTATACCTAGCTCGTAGGCCCGGAGCAGGGACACCGGCCCCCTTGCCCCCTTGCCCCCTTACAGATCCGCCCCTGATTGGGAACAACACATGAAATCACATGACATTTGTTCATGTTTTGTTACAAGATTCGATGTCGATGCCCAACATGATTTAGGAAAAGTGTTGATCCTACCTATCGGATAATATACTTTACACTATTACAGAACTCTCAACGATCAAGGTACATTTATAATATAATTACATTCCTTAAGATCTTTGCAGTCATTAAAAACTTAGAGTTACTAAAAAGCTTACAAAAGTATCTTTTGCAGACCATTTTCCTTTTTGTCCCAGTAATAAAGTGCAAAGCTCCGAATAAAATGCTCACTTCTATTGAGTCAGGGTGTGGAAACATCTAAATACGTGATTCCACCCCTCCTGAGTTGATATTTAACTACGAGTATTTGATAACTATCAAAACAAGATATCTAACTTTAATCAACAATGTAGAACTCACAAGACAAAATGTGTTCGATACTGAGTTTTTTCCAGAATAAGGGTAATTTTCAAACTTATTTCTCAAATATGGGCACTTTTAAATTTATTTCCCAAATGAGGGTACTTTTTGTCATGTCATCATCCCAACAATTCCACATTATCTCAACTATTCACATCTGTTTTTTTAAATAAAGATGTAGTCTCCAATGATTGAACGTTCGACCCAAGAGGTTAGCATGACCTCAAAACAATGGAGGTGGACCACTACACTAGAACTCTCATTTGCTACTAACTATCCTTTTAGGGTATTTTTTGAATATAAAGGATCAGCTTTTTATATTAAAAACGAGACAAAATCCAAGATAACATGTAGATAGTTATTACAGATCCGACTGTGAGCCCAAGGAATAGACATAGAATCAGCCACCTTATACAAAGCAACCTGATTCGCTAGGCACTGTCTACGCACTGTAAAAGAAGGCAGACTGAAATCCCTGACTTGCAAACAAAGCTGGCCAACACACCAAAAGAACTCCCCACATCGAGGTAGACAAACCACCCCGGAGCACCAGTGCTCGGGAAAGAAACACCATTGAACAAAATCAACACAATCGGAAGAGAAGAACAATCCAAACGGATCATACCTCTATCAAGAATCTCTGAGCGTAAATCACCATGAGATAATTTGAATCGGTGAAAGGCTCTCCCCAAATCTTAGATAAGGCTAAATCAAATTATGAGATGAAGGATTGATGCTCTTGCTGCTCTTACGGTATTTGAATAACATAGTTTAAACAAAAAGATGAGCTAGCTTTTACTTGGTATCTATTGTTCCATATATTACCTCTTCCAAAAATATATATATATAAAAATGCTTGAATCAAGATGTTCAATTAAGAAATAAAATACTAATTAAAATTTAAAAAAAAAAACTTAATATGTGATATGTAAATTATGTAATTAAAATATAATTTCAAATAACTCAAATCTAAAAAAAATAAGTAAATTTCTTTCTAATCCATAGCCCACATAATATTTTTAAAAAAATTATTGATGTAATATATCATAGAAGTTTTACTTTACGAAAATTCCTTATAACGACTTAACTTAGCTCAGCTCGACCTTAGTTTGATTTTTTTTTCGGTAAGAAATATATTTTATCCTGAAATGGAGCCAAAGACTCATTATTTTTGGTTTGAGATTATGATGGAATAAAGCAAATGGCTCAATAAACTGTCTATCTGCTCTTCTTTCTTATGAAGCAGTAGTCAGTCGATACAATTTTTGACGCAATCTTCACTTTGGATCATCCGGAAACAGTGTCTCTGTGCTTTAGTGTCTCTGCTCTTCTTTCAAAATACAAAGATTTTTTTATTATACGGGCTCAACTTGGCTCAATTCGGCCTCAGTTTCATTGATTGAGTTAAAATAATATGCTCGAATTTTAGTTAAATTGTTACATGTTATGATTTAGTTAAATTTGAAATACAAAGATTTTAAATTCCAAAGTATAAACTATTACCTGCCTGTGTATTACTCATTCATTTAGAGATATATAACTTCTTTCTGGAATAATTAAATAATAAATTAAATTGTTAATTTGAGATATTCAATTCAAAAATAAAAAATAATTAAAACAGACATGTACTAAACCAGGTCAATTCAGATTGGATTCACACTTAAATGGACTAAAATGGGAAATATCAGATCACCAGAAAATTTTAATCCAATTTAAAACATTCTAAATCTAATACTGTGTATGTTCTATTCAAATCTAGTCTGGTCCAAAATTCAAATTAATCCAAGTGAAAATTTATAAATCTACCATTAAGCATCTTTCTTTTATAAATACATTTCAATGTTGATTTACTTTTACAAATACCACGTTTAAATTTTTTGTTCGTACAATTCAAAAAAAATCATGACACTACTTTGCCCTTCTCCAATGCAGTTAAAGTTTCTACAAGTATTCTTGGTGTACACAAAATGTATACGACACACATCATATAAAACCCCCTTTTTACATCCACCATCACTACCTCCAATCCTCCATCTCCGCCATCTTCCATTTCCATCTAGCTCACCATAGTAATCACATCCCAAGTTCCATCTTCACCATCTTCCATATTCATCAGCTCATCATTTCACCATTATCATCATTTAGGATCGATTGGAAAAAAGAAGAAGTTTGAGAGTAACCAGAAAGTAGTCGGAAAATTATAGATGAAAATTCATCGATTTTTTTTAGTGCACATTACTGTTTCTTTTCAATGACTGTGTACCCAGACAAAATAGTTAATCACAATCTGAAAATGTCCAAATTGTTTGTCTACGGACAATTAAATATTTGAGTGAGGAAGATGAAGATGGAGTGAGAAACATTGAGATAGAGCGAGGAAGATGAATGATTATAAATAGGGAAAAGGGACAAATAAGGCCATGTACTAACAAAAAAAAGTCAAATAAGGCCTTATTTATGAGGATCTGTCTGGCCTTCACCATTTGGGGTGGTTCTTGGTGAATTTTTTTGATGAAATTTTTTGAGCATCTTATTTATTAAGTCTAGTTTACTCATACCAAATTTCAGCTAACAATTCAATTGGGAAGACATTCAAATGAATTCTTGAAGATAATTGCGCTTTTAACTGCACACTTATCTTCAAGAATTCATTTGAATGCATTCCCGATTGAAGTTTTAGCTGAAATTTGGTATAAGTAAACTAGACTTACTGAATAAGATGCTCAAAAAATTTAATCAAAAAATTCCTCTGGGAACCACCCCAAATGGCGACGGCCGGACAGAGCCTGTTAAATAAGGCTTTATTTGACCTTTTTTTATTAGTACGTGGCCTTATTTGCCCCTTTTCTCTTATAAATATGATGAAAATGAAAGATGACGAAGTGGATGTAAAGGTGATGAAAAGGTGATGGAAGCAATAAAAAGAGGTAGTGGGGGAGAGAGGACTCGTATGGATGGAAAGAGAGAGAAGAGAAGGAAAGAGTGGAGGGGAATAAGGTAGAATGTAAAATTAGATTGGTAAATGTAGAGTATTTATAGTGTGTGCAACAAAAGTGTACAAATAACAATTTTCAAGTTTTAAGGCCCTCACACACCAATTTCATGTGAGATTTGATGTCTCTCAATTAATTATGGGGTCAAAATGTAGAGCTCACGAAAATGTAAGACTGTGTATGGTGTCAGCATTGAGGGGGAATCTTAACATCTGATCTGAAATCAACATCTCTGAAAAACATACTTCATTTCATAATATTTTATCATTTTCCCCTTTTATTTGTTTAGAAATCTTTACAGATTTCTCTTTTAATTAATATTATTTTTATATTATTTCATTCTCAATGAATAAACATGAATTACATAATTTTTACATTATTACTCCTTGTTGAGTTTGATCCAACACGATATAGTAAATATATGTATAAATGTGTATGAACAAGCTATTTTTACGTGGAAACCCGGAAAGGGAGAAAACCACGGGACTTTTTAGGCTAATGTCCAAGCCCTCTCTTTCTCATTAGGACTCTCCTCACCATTACATTGTACAAGCTCCCATTAATGGAGTATTTGAGCTATTCTAGAGGAAGAAGGAAGAAGAAAGGGATCCCTAATATGGAGGGGAACTCCCATATTTATAGAGAATAGGGGAAGGAGATGCTCTCCACCCTAATGGGCCGCATGGGCCGGAGTGGGCCCAACTGGCTAAAGTGGGCCAGATGGGCCGAAATGGGCCTAGCTGCTCGGGCTCCGTACTGGATAATGTCTTGGGCTCCTGAACAGTAATAGGCCGGGATAATATATCCCAACACTCCTCATGTCATTCAAACTTGACAAAATGATAAAAGAACAAAGGGAAATGGTGTAATTGAGTACCTACCTGTTAGAGGAGAGGAAGGAAAGGGTGTGATACTTATTTTAAAAGTTAGGGGTGTTTGGTTCTTAAAACTTTTTTTTGCTCCATGAGGAAGCAGAAACAAAAGTTGAAGTATTTGGGTGAAAGTGCAGAAGTAGTTTCTGAAAACATACTGTTTTTGCTTTAAAAAAGAAGCAAAAGCACAATTAGTTCCAAACACAACCTTATTCATTTAAAATACGGAGTAGTTGTTATGTTGTATTACCTACCTTTGGGACAATGGCCTGGATGTTGTTGTATTCATTTATTTAAATAGTTGAAAAGATACGAAGATAAAAGATTATACAAAAATGCGTAATTTGATCAACCTTATAATTATTTCTAGCGTCACACTAACATACTTCGTATAAAGATAAACTGATAAAACAAAAATTAATCCCCCATCCCTTTTCCAGACAAGTCTTTTAGAGACTTCGAAGAGAAACTGGGCTTTACCCTTCTGAGAGATACCGTATCATCATAGGAGAACAGGAATCTTCTAAGATGGAGAGTAAAGAAGTGATCAATGGAGCCAGTGTGTTATGTATTTTGGTACAAAAGTATGAAGTTAAGCCCCAGTGTGCAAGTATTTTGGTACAAGTGTATGAAGTTAAGCCTTGTGCGTAGAAGATAACCCAATTCAATAAGAGTAACATTAAACTATGTTTTTAGTTTATTAAAGCCAACCCAGTAACAAATCGCGTTATTAAGATATATCGTTACTCGGATCTCCAGACCCATGAACTTCCTTAGATGCTGCCGGAAACTCTGCACAAGAAGAAGCCTCGTCACCATATTCAATAGGTTTAGATGCATTTGTATTCACAGATGCTTTAGGAGTAATGCATCTTGGTTCCTTTCTAGTGTCACCACACTTGTCTTCCAGGTCGGATGATGATGAAACAATGCTAGCCTGGGAAGTCTGAAATCGGCCTGGCACACTTGATCCACCAGATATACCATTCGAGATTATGATTATGGCTGGTTTCGGGATGATACTAGGTTCTTCCGACATTCTTTTGTAGCAATGTGAGCGTTCACCAGGAAAACCTCTGTGTTTCTTGAAAAGTAGTGGAGGTTGAGCAGCAAATGGATGTTCGTTATAGGGATCTGGTCCACCCATAATGTCTTCTTCGTTTGCATTGAATATTTCATCTGAGAACCGATGGGGATTCGGATCAAACCATCTTTTTTTAGCAGTAGTTGGGTAATCTGAGAAGCTTCCTGGCCAGCTATCATTGCAGAATCTGGTTTTGGTCTCCATCGTCTTTTTATGAAGATGCATGTCATGGCGGTTTCTGGGGCATTCGAACAAATCACCTTTCACTGGAAAGAAGCGTGAGAAGAGGAGAATGTTAGTGGAAGAAGGTGCTTTAGGGTCTGATTGAGACTCAGATGAGGATGGTATGAAAAAGAAAAAAGACGAGGAAAATAGTTTCATATTTTAATGCTCGATTTAAATTTGGGAAATGTGGAGTTGGTAGAACTTTCTAACATTTTTACATATATTTTGATTTATTAGTCTTTATATGATACTCCGTACTACATATATAAAGACTAATATCTAAAGTTGATTGTTTATTTTGAACCGATTATTTATTTTACTCCAAAACTCTATAAAACTTCACGTGTATATTTTCATTTTTAGGGTGTTTTTAATTGGACTGAAATTTACTGGTTTGATCTGGTCTGTTTAAGTCTGATCTGGGACTGAAAACAGACCAAGTAAATATGTCCTCTGTTTCTTTACTTATTGCATATTTAGTGTCCTAAACGGAGCCTTAACTTTTAAGAAGTTGAACCAAATCATACTACCACTCTACAAGTACTGTAGCAATTTAGCAATAGGACGAGTTTAAAAACCTGCAGCTGAAAAGAAGCATGATTCTTCACTGGCATTGAGTTGGAAAAAAAGTTTCATCAGGATAAAACCAAGCCATGCAATAACTAGTAAAAAAGAATGTCAAAATTTTCTAACCTCCGAAAACTGAAACAACCCATGGTGTCATCAATTGCAGAGAATGAGGAAGCTCTCTGCTTTTTGTTGTCCACACAACGATATTCACTGGTTCCCATAGAGTAGTTGCTGTCCAAATTACAACGGCTTATATGCATTGAAATAATGAAATCTTCACAGCAAATTATAGTCCCGGTGTCTCGAATAAAAGTCCACTTTCATCAAATAGAGCTAATTTTCATGTAATTTTCCCAAAAAAAACTCAAAAAGGGTTGCATATAATAAATTCAGTCAAACCAGCAAATAAATTTGAAAGCACAAGTATGGCTCATGATTTACAACAGTTGTACCTTACCGGAAGTTAAAATTTGTACACTGGTCAAACAAGACTCTTTCAGGACAGAAGTAGTAGTGTACGCAAAAATGTAAATAAAAAATCATACCATTTTATATTCGGGTCTGAATCTTCAAAGTACTGTTGCATCTTGCGCTTGGAATATAAAGAAGGGCAGCCTAGGTAAAGAGAACATGGTTCCATCAGTGAACAACAAGAGAGTACAACAACAAAAACATCCAAGCCCAACCCCAAAAGAGTTTAGGGTCGACTAAACATGAATCGACGACATATCAGCATTTCCTGATGTATCAACAAAAGAAACACGGTATAAAACCGAAGAGCTTTCAACATTAATAAAACAGAAAGCACCTTGGTAATTGATCTCAAATGGTGATTGCATGCTGGTGCTGCACACACATAATAAAATCCGTTTTAAAATAATGAGTCACATGGTTCTAGAAGCGTGAAGCGTCATTGAAAAATACCAAAATACTACCTTTTCTTCCACTGGTGGGTCTCGTTAAAGGATAAATCTTGGTGATCGTAACTTCTACCCGCATGTTGACTACTTGAACAAAACTCCATTTGATCTAACTCGTTCTTACAAGGTAAACCATATTCCTCTTGGTCACTAATCCCATAAGTTAGACCCGAGGAAGTTGCTGAGATTCAATAGTAGACAATTTACTACATGCCCCTTGTCATAAAAGATAATTTAGAGGGTTCAGGTAAAGTCAATCGCAACACAACCGATTTTGGGATTTCATTATGCATATAAAAACCTTTGGTCAATCTTCCATCCTGGTTCCTGATGTTACTCAAAAGGCTTGAGAAAGTATTTCCTTAGAAGTGTTAAACATATTTAGAAAATCAGGTAACTACACTACTACTATTGCTCCATTGAGCCAAGTGTAATAACTAACAATACACTTGCACGCCTACGATACCACTACTCCCCCCATCCCAAACAAGTCATAAAGTTCTACTTATATATTTAAACTTTACTTGTTAGTTTAAATAAGTTAATCCTATTTCTTTGTCTGTAAAACGTTTTTTTGACAAATAAATTCAAAATTATGAAAAACTAGAGATGTTTGATTAAATAAGGCTCTTTTTAAGGGGACAAAAAGAAATTTTGAAACATCACACTTTTTTGGGACGGAGAGAGTGTATGATAGTCCAGAAAACATATCATAGAAAGGAAAGTAAGTGTGCACAAAATGAATATTACCATTCTGAATGTTCTTTCTTCTCTCTTTGCCAAAGAGCTCCCCAGCTTCAAAGATTTCCTCCAAATTAGTATCATAATCAGTGACTGGAGATGATATTTTGTTAGATAACAAGTCCTGCCTTGGGCTGCCAAATAAATCATCAGAGACCATAGATCTGAAAGATGGTTCTACTGGACTTCTGTATATGGATGTTCCAATGTCCCTCATGACAGCATCCTGTAATTTGTGTAATCAAAGTAACTAGTGTTATCATTATCACCCACATCTTGACACCCACAATTATGTCGATTCTTTTGATAAAAAAGAAGGGTACTTCAAAAGGGACATGCTTATTGTTTTGTACAGTGTCAATGACAAAAGAATCAATTGATTTATATAAATAAGCAGCAATCAATTTCATATTTAAGTTAATTACCAAATGAACTGCTGACCACTCTTACCAATTTATGCTTGAGGTCAGGCCTGCTAGTAGTTTTGACTGACGAGAGAGTTTTCATCCTCTCTTTCAATGGTAGATACTGTCCATAAGAGAAATTTCTGCAGCCAAATGATAGTCATAATTGGCATCACTAGCCAAACAAATCCAAAACTACAACAACCTAGCAGGTAAACAAATGCATTCTTAAGTGCTGATGTATAATGGAAATGAGAACCTTTTTAGCAATAAAATATTGATGCTCAAGGATACTCGTTACATTACTCAAACCATGGCCTTTTAATAGAAAAATCACTGCAAAATGATCACTAGCCCTTGGAGCATCTCTTCATGCACAGCCATCATTATTATCAACTATATGTACACCAGAATATAGTAATAAAATACATATATACATTTTACAATTACCTTCCAGGCCTCTCTGGTGAATGAACAGGTGTTTCTGTGTCCACTTTACCTAGACCTGATGAGCAAGGCATGCCCTCAATAAGCACTATGTATTATGAGCCATACACTAGTCTCACATATATGTTGCTAATATATATCTCCAAATAACTAGTAGTAATTGACTAATAGCATATATATTTCTTAGGGAAAATGGAAACTAATAATCCAACCTTTTAGCGGTCTTCTTACAATAATCCAACCTTTTGGTTATTCATGAATAATCCAACCTTTGCACCTCATCTTCATTCAATGGTCCCTGACCGGTTGATGACCTGCTATTCCAAGCTATTTTCTTATCTTTGCAAATCATTATACAATAAATCTCATCTTTCACAAAGATAATATTTTGCAAAGATAAGAAAATAACTTGGAATAGTAGGTCATTAACCGACCAGGGACCAATGAATGAAGATGAGGTGCAAAGGTTGGATTATTCATGAATAATCAAAAGGTGGGATTATTGAAAGAAGACCGCTAAAAGGTTGGATTATTAGTTTCCATTTTCCCTATTTCTTATGATTGACGAAATGAAAAATCCATGAGCACGGTGTACAAAAGAATGAAATCAAGTTCTATGTTATTGTCAAATGTATCTTACTAACGTGGTCAAAAGAATTTATAAGTAAAACTATAGGCCATTCCATATGATAACCAAATACACGAGCACAGTATACGGACAAAGGATTTTATTCTGGCGATGCAAAGGTGCGGATGGAAAGCTTTTTTAAGCATTTCTGGTTTCATGACTAGTTTAAATTTGAGCGAGTCTAGGGAGACATTTCTATGAGCTTAAATTTTAAGCTCAACTTATTATTATCCAATAAATGCATGCCATGTTGGATTGTACACTAATAATGTACAAAATGTCTACTTAGACTAGTTTAAATTTTAGGTAACAACTCATGGTTCGTCAAAAAGATTCCTTAAATTTTTTATATTTAATTGCAGTAAAAACTCTGGAAACTAATCAAGTAGAAAAAAATATCGACCTTGCTTTACCAGAAAAGTGCCTCATAATGATTAGATGAAAACAAAGAGTCAGAAGCTGGGAGTGGGGTTCCGGGTTGAAAACCCTTCTACTCAACAAGTTAAGGGAATGAATTTAGATGATTGAGTTTGCCAGTGACTGTTGTTGGCGTAATTGGTTGTAATTTGTAAACTGACTTGAAAGTTAATAATATCATATTGTACCTTGAATTGAAAAGGCAACATGAGCTTCATGCCCAACATTTTCTTCAAGGTTGCTATTTGGACAATCATCACCTAAAATATCAATAACAGATAGCGCTGCCGACAATGGAAATAAAGCCAAAATAAATTAATCATTCTTAATGAAGCTATGAGAGAATAATTTGAGCCTCTGTATAGAAAATAGCATAGATAAGTAATAATCAAGTTATATCAAGCAGTGATCATTTCTTACGTTCCAAAGATAGATAGTCATAACTAATGATTTGCCATTACAAAAATTCAATTCAATTCTAGTTCAATTAATGGAACTTGGAAAAAATTGTTGTTCTGAAGGAATGCTAAAATTATAAAAATCACTATCCCTTTCTTATTTGTACTCCCACCAGCTCTTTAGAAACATGGAACAATGTAATGACCCAAATGACTAAAGGAATTACTCACGGTGCTCTGTTGACATCTTTGATTGATTTAAGGTGTTCCAATCACATTTCAACTTTTTCCCCTTGGATTCAGGCGCACCAACTGGAAAACTGGCAGGTACTAAACAATTGGTTTTTGTAAAAGGAAAAAATGATGGAAAAATAGTAATAAAAGGAGTAGTTTGTAGAAGCGCCATTAATGTGAAGGACAGGAATGATGCATCTCCGTGAAAACAGCAAGCAAATGGAAGTGTGTGAAGAAGCAGATATATCAAACAATATCCCTCACAAGTTAGATAACTTCAAGGTGGTAGATACAATCAATCAGATGTGCTGCCAATTAGTATTCCACTAATGCTATCTATATATACAAATGAAATCAATGAATTAGATAATCCAATGCTTCAAAATTTTGAAGCTCATTATGCTTACTTTCTTGGACATACAGTATCAGAAAGATCACAGGCAGAACTTTCTGCAAGCACATAGAATCGTAATTCAATTGGATTCAAATTACAGACAATTACATGTAACTTGCTGAAAACACTACTTCATACCTGTTGTGGAAGCAATACCTTCCGGCTTGATCCTAAGGGGACTAATTTGAGTAACTTCATTGGCTTGAGCAGTTTGAGGACACAACCTGGTCTGATAGTTTGGAGAGGGAGTAACACCTTCAATGTTTCCTGATTAAATAGACATTTATCAAGAAATTAGTATGAAATGCAAAATTCATACGCAATATACGTAAACAATCATTGAAGAGGCAATTACTTAGAACGAAACTAATTGCTTGTTGAATCAATATTCTCAAGCTAACTATAAAAAAGTGATAAGGATCATAATCAAAGTAACTGAAGTGTAAAACTTTACATAGCTGTATATTTAAAAATTTGAGATAGCGTAACCTCCAGGGAAATGTGAACCTGAGATAGGTTCTTTGGAAACAGCTGAAAGGTTCAGCAGACTAAGAACATCCAGTGATGTATTATTTTCGTGTTGCTGATTACATGGGCTACTTCCATAGTACTTTTCCAGATCTGCCTGACTATGCTGGTGTTTTAGTTTTCTTTGCTCAAAGTACTGCTTTTGCCTGTTATTTTAAGAACTTAGAGTCATATCAATATAAGATGGCATGTAAATTAATTTAATACAGAGCCTAATAAGGCTCTGTTTGCAACCACTTGTACTTAAATAAAAGCACTTTTTGGGAAAAAGTGATTAGTAGTAAAAGTTGGTAGTGTTTGGTAAAATAAGTACTTTTTGTGTAATAGAAAAAGTAAAAAGTAGATTCTACACAAAAACCGAGGAAGAAAAAGTTGATAGTGTTTGGTAAAATAAGTGCTTTTTTCTTAAAAAAAAAAAGCCAAAATCACTTTTTTTTATTGATTGCAAACAAGCCCTAAAACTCTTCAAATTTAATAGGCACTTAAATAACATAGGGGGCATGAAGCTGTTATTGTACCTTTTTAGTGTTGAATTCCTTGACTAATCTCCACCCAGAATCATGAAAATGACACGGAAGGAGGAGGGTAAGGTTGATGCATAATAGATAAAACAAGAGGGCAACAAAATTAGTATAAAATTTAAAGTGAAAATTTGATGTGGGTTGGAGCAACACTAGTAAGACCCGACAAGCCTAGGAATCTTGGATAGTTACTTGAGGATTCAGACAGGCACCCCTATTTTACACAAACGCACACATACCTCTAGTGATTGCTTATCACACTACTTCAGAAGAAATATGAAGAATTATTGAGTATTTATGTAATGGAAGTTCATGGCTTCCAACATATAAGCTGGAACAAAATAAGAACGGAATACAATGCAGTTTCAGCCACAACTTACAGTGACAACTTTCCGTCTTGATCCACCCATCCACTGTAGCATTGCAACAAAAATGAGAACCTTCCACAATACCCTATCTACACCAAGTTAAAAGATGTGATAGATGCATATCAGCATATGTAATACTACGTATAAATTAAGAAGGAAAAAAAGGCAAATGCCAAAACATGAATTATATAAGCAGTAATTTTGAAATATTAATGAACTGTGGCTATTCAGCGCTAATGGCATATCATCTCCACAGTGTAATTCATAACTTTGTGAGTACAACTCCAATCAACCATACGTTGTTAATGGTTGTTTACATAGTGAAATGTGGCTTTTGCTTATAAAGTCTCATCATGACAGAAACATTTGAGACCAGCATTCACTAAAACCTCATTTTTTGAATTACTGTTTTATCAAAACTGATAAAGCTTCTGCATTAAACCAAAACACGTAGATTAAGCTCAACCTAGATTCAAAATTCGCTGGATGAAGTTACAATCTAGGAAACAAGTGTACGGAATTCAATCGGCGATTGGCGGGCCGGAAACGGCCTGAGGACGAGGACGACGCAGGGAAGCCAAGGAACAGCTTCAAGTACGCTAGAAGATTTGGCCCGGAAGTTGCGGGAAAAGGTGGGGGTGCACAGTTTGTTACTAAGGCTCTGTTTGCCGCCCCTTCTTAAATAAAAACACTTTTTGGGAAAAAGTGATTATTAGTAAATGTTAATAGTGTTTGTTAAAATAAGTGCTTTTTATGTAATAGAAAAAGTAAAAAGTAGATTCTACACGAAAACCGAGAAAGTAAAAGTTGATAATGTTTTGTAAAATAAGGATGTTTTTACTTGGACTGTAATTCATTCCAGACCAGACCAGATCAGACCAGTTCAGACCAGACCAGACCAGACTTGGATAGTTATAAAAATACAGAGGAACCAGACCAGACCAGACCAGTTCAAACCAGACCAGACCAGACCAGCAAATTACAGTCCAAGTAAAAACATCCTAAGTGCTTTTTCTTTAAAAAAACAAGCCAAAATCACTTTTTTTAATTGATTGCAAATAAGCCCTAAGCTGTTTTATTTCCTACCGTCGACTTGCGATCGTGCTATTGTTTTTACATTCTGCGAGCACCATAGTTGGCGCTTAGCAGAGAAAAATGATCGATGTACGCCGGAGGCCCGCTAATATTAAGGGGTGTTTGGAAATGATTCTGTAACTTTTTTAAAAGCAGAAGCAGAATCAGAATCAGTTTTCAGAAGTTGGTACCTCCCAGCTTCTAAGAAACTAATTCTGAGAATAAATTAGAGCTCCAGAAGTGCCTCCGGAATTTCACCCAAACACTCCGACTTCTGCTTCTGAGAATCAGTTTTGAGAATCAGATCCAAACACCCCCTCAGTGCTTTAAGAGGGGAGTTTAATTATACAAAATATCAAAATGATGGATAATTATTATACAATACTTGAATTAAATGTTTCATATGTAGTTGAGATAAATGATAGTTTAATGAGCCCTTTTCAGTTAATGTATTGATATATATGTAATGTATCATAATGGTCACCCAGACCAGTTCAAACCAGACCAGACCAGACCAGCAAGTTACAGTCCAAGTAAAAACATCCTAAGTGCTTTTTCTTTAAAAAAAAACAAGCCAAAATCACTTTTTTTAATTGATTGCAAATAAGCCCTAAGCTGTTTTATTTCCTACCGTCGACTTGCGATCGTGCTATTGTTTCTACATTATGCGAGCACCATAGTTGGCGCTTAGCAGAGAAAAATGATCGATGTACGCCGGAGGCCCGCTAATTTATTCCGGAGGCACTTCTGGAGCTCTAATTTATTCTCAGAATTAGTTTTTTAGAAGCTGGGAGGTACCAGCTTCTGAAAACTGATTCTGATTCTGCTTCTGCTTTTAAAAAAGTTACAGAATTATTTCCAAACACCCCTTAATATTAGCGGGCCTCCGGCGTACATCGATCATTTTTCTCTGCTAAGCGCCAACTATGGTGCTCGCAGAATGTAGAAACAATAGCACGATCGCAAGTCGACGGTAGGAAATAAACAATAGCACGATCGCAGGTATTTTATTTTTAAATTTAAGAATATAATCAACGTCACACATCAAATTTTGCTTATTTCAGGTTAAAACGGTGCTGATTTTTACAGAAGTCATAACTTTTTACTCGTAATGAGTTACGAGACCCATAATATATCAAATCGAAGATATTTCAGAGCTCTACATTCTTGATCTTTCAGCGGGGTCGGCTGACCACCCTGACCCCCCTTGGCTCCGCCCCTGTGTGCTTGTTCTAAGGAAAAATTCTTAGCTTACTTTTGTACATGAAGGACAGAATTGTTAGCTTACGCAAAACCTCGTCTTTATACACGGGCAATTCGTTTAAAAAAGGACTGAATTTGTTGCCAAAACCCAATTGTCTTTATACACGGGCAATTCGTCTTAAAAAGAACAAAATTTGTTGCCAAAACCCTCGTAGTTGCCTGTGTACACGAGCAATGTACAATTTGTGTACACATTTTGTGTACACCAAGAATGAGAATGATTTAATTCGATTAATATTTCGGTTTGGTCGATTCAGTTAGATTTATGAGTGATTTGATTTGATTTCAAGTTTGAATTACCAAATTGAAAATGATTTTGTTAAATCTAGTTCTGTTTGATTGATTGCATATGTTTATTGATTTATGTGATCTATACATTGATGTTCTATTTTTTAGAAATAGAGAATGAAAACAGTGTTCCTTCACACCTTAATGTATTTTTTTGCAAGAATCTAAATCAATTAATATTAATTAAATCATTATTCAAAGCAGATACAATAAAAGACGGTGGAGAATAAAGCAAAGATCGCAAATCAGACAAAAAACAAGTTGCTCTGGTTAAAGCATGAGCAGTCTTATTCGCTGAACGCATAATATGACAAAAAGTAATGAACGAAAAATGTTTCGTCATTTCTCAACCACCCTTTTTTTACTTTTATTATTTCTCACCTACTTTGCACTTGGCAAAGTCCACCTGGACGGAGGTAGTAATAACTATTTATGGTCAAACAAAAGTTAAAAACAACTTTGTAGGATTTGAGATGTTTTTGCTTGAACTGTTTTCAGTCCCAGACCAGACTAGACCAGATCAGACTTAAACAGGCCAAATCAGACCTGAACTTCTTAGTTATAAAAATACACAGAGACCAGACGTTTACCAGACCAATTCAGACCAGTTCACACCATATCAGACCAGACCAGACCAGATCAGACCAGCAAAATTCAGTCCAAGTAAAAACATCCTTGATGGTAGTAAACATTACCATTGGACTAGCGTCGCCATTCGTCGGGCTTCCGTTATTGCAATCGCTAAGCCTCCGCCGCCGCAGGCCAACTACCACCTCCAAATCGCTTGTGCCAGCCCACCTGTCGGCAGACCTCCGTCACCGTCGTCATCGGACCTCCCGTGCTGATACTGGCAGGCGACGACCACCGCTAAATCAGGTTGGTAAACCATTCTAAACCGTAAATACTAAACGTCTAAACATTGGGGTGTTTTAGAGCACGGTCAGCACACAATATATTACTCTTATTTAGGGAACTTAAAAAATGAACTCTTATTTTTATATCTTCCTGATGTCAAAAAAATCTACATTATGTTTTACACATATTTTAGAATATTTATTACTATCTTCTTATATAAATGCAACATACTGAATTTTACATTTACATTTATATGTTGTACTTTGTTTGTGTTTTACTCTGTATCTATTAATGTTATTAGAAATTTATTTTTTGAAAACTATTACCACGATATTAAATTTCTCTCATTTTAAATTTTCAAAATCAGAACTCTTTTAATTTTTACTAATAAAGAATGAAATATATTGGTCAAATTGTGCCTTGATAAATGTGAAAATGAAAATATTGCAACTAAAAAAGGGGGAAGTATTTTTTTATGATAAAAAACCTCATATCAAAATAGTGAGAAAGAGAAAAAAGTATTTGCACAATGCTTACTTACTTCTCAATGAGAAATTTGCTTTATTTAAAGGAAATCACTTGTTTATTCACGATAAAAATGATTGGCGTAAAAACAATTTGGATAGCCCAGCTTGTAGTGAGCTGGGACATAAAATTGAAAGGTTTGAAATGAACATAATAATTCTTAGGGAAAACTGTCAATTTGGTCCTCGTACTATCCCGAAGAAGTCAATTAAGTCCTCGTACTTTTACAAAAATCAATCAAATCCCCGAACTTTGTAAAAATATTCAATTGAGTTCATTTGCAGGCTACTTGCCATGTCAGCAGGTCACCCACTGACGCGGCACAAATGTGGCAGCCTAATCAGCAATGATTTTGCTGACGTGGCGCGCATGTGAAAGTTCAGTCAGGCATTTATATTAGTGATGATGTGGCAAATGCGTGGATCGCCACTTGCGTGCCACGTCAGCTGGTGACCTCCAAATGGACTCAATTGAACGTTTTTACAAAGTTCGGGGATTCGATAGATTTTTTTAAAAGTACGAGGACCCAATTGACTTTTTCGTAATAGTGTGATGACCAAATTGACAGTTTTCCCAAAATTCTAAACTTGCGGAAATGTAGACTCTTCTATGAACATGGAAAAGTAGTAAAATTACTATGTCATAGAAAACAAACATATAAATTGGTTTCACCAACCCCGACAAGGAAATAACAAAAATACGGTTTGTTGTGCCACAAAAAAAGAAGATCTAGTTAAGGCCCTAGAGTCCCCGATGCTTGAAGTCAATCTCCCAGAAAATCAAGCTCGACAAGCATTGGTATGAAGGAAACACAATCAACACAATTTCACTACTTGGTGAGCTCCATCAACAGGAGATACACAAACTCTAGACATCATTATGAAAGAAACATATAAGCTAACTTGAAAATAGTCACTAGGGATATCTTTTTTCATATTTAGGTGAAGAAAAAAGATTGAGGCACGAAAAAAAGGAGATGTGTGACTAGAGTTTTCCCTTCGCCTTTCGTGAGAAAATTACTTTTAAGTACAGTTTTAATTATATTTTTGAGAGATTTGTCAAATGGGCCCTCCAAGTATATCGAAAAAGTCAGTTAATCCTTCTAACTAAAGAAACTCTCGATTGAACTCGGCAAGTTTACAAAAAACGATCAATTTTCTAATTTAGCCGGTTACGATGTTTGTGTGCCGATTCGTGGCTTATGAGTCCTGGTTATCCCGTTTAAATGTGCCGATTTGTACAATATGTGTAACACCCCACCCGGATCGACCCCGCCGACCCGAGCGGTGTGTCACGAGGCAGAAATCGAAACCGTTTTATTAAAAGACTTTCATCAGGTTAGATCATATTTAAACATATTTACCTGAAGAATTGGAATTACTAGCCCAAAATAAGTAAAAATTTACTAAACAGGCATAACGTCAACGTCACAAAATTCATTTAACTGCAGCGGAAGGTTCTTACAAAATATCAAAATAAATTTTATTTTAATACACATCTCATACTTTAAAGGATCCCAAAACACACCATATGCATATGAGACCTATGCCTCCCTCCATCCCGGTGCTTCATGTTCATCTTGGTCTTGACCTACGGGTAGGAAAAACAAACAACTACCCGCTCAACAATGTGTTGAGTGGT